CGAAGTCAACTATCGAAACTTAAAATCGTACTTTCGAAGATTGAAAGCTTAAAACGTGATCTGCACATTGGCCAATAAAAAAGAAAGTTAATTCATCGCGAGTCATAGATACAAAAAAAATGAATGGAAAATTAAAATCTATTCTTTGAAGCGAATAACAACAATGGATTCGATGGGCCCATTTTTCATATCGAAGTCAACTATCGAAACTTAAAATCGTACTTTCGAAGATTGAAAGCTTAAAACGTGATCTGCACATTGGCCAATAAAAAAGAAAGTTAATTCATCGCGAGTCATAGATACAAAAAAAATGAATGGAAAATTAAAATCTATTTTTTGAAACGAATAGCAACAGTGGATTCGATGGGCTCATTTTTCATATCGAAGTCAACTATCGAAACTTAAAATCATACTGTCAAAGATTGAATATAGCTTGATCTCGTGGATAGAAATGGACAGCAATATCTTCAATGTTTTTTAAGCATTAACACATTAGGTTTATAAGATTTTCCTCCCTTATTTATGTAAAAAAATTAGCTCACCACGATGTTAGTCGAGAATGTCAATATAATTGAATTTTTCAGTCAAATCTCATTAGATTTGTAATGGCTATAACAGTTCAATAGGATTTTCCTCTCTTATTTATGTAAAAAAATTAGCTCACCACGATGTTAGTCGAAAATGTCAATATAATTGAATTTTTCAGTATTTTTTTAGTACATTTGGATAAAAATATTTAAATAATGAAAACAACTCGCAATAAACTATTTTAGACAAAAATTTGAGTGACACTTTTTAGAAAATTCTTCTCTCTCTCTCTCGCTTATTAATCGTTACATACCCATGTTTCCTCCTTATATTATATTTATTATATTGTATTTATATTATCGCAAATGAGTTTCACCTACTCAATTTCATTCGCATTCACACATATAAAACCAATACTTACAATTTCCAATATTTCCAATATTTTATTTTCCTACTTTGTTATGTTCCGAATTAACCTTAGAAATAGTAGCCTTTGGTCTCCAGTTGGATATGACAAAAATGCGATTTCTTATATATTATAATATTCTTTGCATATAGTAAGCTGAGGCTTCGCGATATCGAATTTGCCAAATTTTTATAATTTAAGGTTTCATATAATAATTAGGAAACGCGTAACTTCCAATTGTGTACAGTAGTTTCATTTCACGTGGTTTCTAAATTCGTCACATTTACTCTTCCAGATTTTTAAATCCTGTCATATGCGACTTTCTAAAATTTGAAAACCCCGCTGCAGGTTAAATCAACGTTTCAGATTTAAAATACTATACAAACTTAATCTTATACGCTGGGATATTAACTCTGGCATTTATTTATTTAACGAATTGTCGTTATTTTTACTTACTCCTCCTCGTCCCTATTTTCCCGGAGTAATTAATCGCTTCGTGGAGCCAGAGAGATTCTCCACGGAGTTATTCAGCCGGCAGTTTCCCCTGAAAGAAATCCTGTTTAAGATGCTCTTGGCGTTTAAAAAAATCGCTGGAATCCAAGAAACGAGGGCATAAAACTCCTTTTATAAGCGTTACGGCCATTCCCGACGGCAGATTCTTGATCGTTGTTACCAACTAGGGGTAAGTTTTAATTAACTGTAACTGGTAATTGAATTAGACCGCGTCTGCATCTACATCACGCGGCGCCTCCCACTTGAAAACTCGCATTATTGATTCTGCTACGTAACAACGCTCGTATCGGTACGCCACGTTTCGTTTTCATGGTTTTTACGAGCGACGCGACATCAGTATCGACATGTTATCAGAGAAACAATGAGACTTCCACGTTGTGGCCTGCCTTGTGTCTCTATCAATGAGTGAACTCCGTGAAATATCTCTATTTTCAGTACCTTCGACGTAAGTCTGTTAAAAAGAATATATAATTCCCCGAATCGAAAGGAATCGAAAGTCAGAAGGGTTTGATACGTTGAAAAATTATAATTTAAATGTCCCGAACAGTATTCTGACAGATTCTTAATATTTTAGAAGCGATTTTAACTGCACTTTGACTGCCACGCATATTTTAATAAATTTTTCATCAAATTATAATAATAATCAATTATTTTAATAAATTATCGTAATAAAATTTTCATTATACTTGAGGTATATAATGATGAATTATTAACACGTTTTCCTACGATATGTCATTACATCGTCAATCCATAAGTAATTAGCTTGATTAGAGTAGTTATCACACCGTGTACCATTTATCAGTTCGACTGTGAAAGTCAGTCAGTTCGAAAATTTTCGATTTGTAAAAAGAACTAGAAGAGTAGTGACATTTTGCAGCATTTGCATTCGATTGCCCGAATAAACCATTTTTATGCGTCCCTTGCTTTAAAGTCAACCATTACAAGTAATTAATAATTATTTTATATATAACAATTAAACAAATTTATGCACCTTGTTCTATACTGCATTTTGTATAATGCCTCATTCTCTCAGTGGAAATGTATTTTTCGGAATTAAATTTGTCATGAAACATGTTTTCAGCATAAATGATATACGTGGAACGAAACGTGTTAAACAATGTGGCAAAAAAAAAAATGGAAAGAATGGAGAAAATTATTAATATTTTCAATTAAAAGTTTTCTATTTATTTAATTGTTGTTCAAATTTTCAAGAAATGGTTATAATAAAACAAATATGAATTTAAAAAATTAATATCGTAGGATGCTAGTGATCACTATGGCCTCACTGAGGAGACAAGCACCGGTCACTGGTGACCATCATGGCAGTCAAAATGTTAAAATTGTTTTAAATTTTTCGTTGCTGGATAAAAGTCATAATATTTTCAAGGAGTGAATTTGAATTTAATTTTTTACTTTTAACGCCTCAAATTCACTTTCGATATCTTCCTGTACTGATTTCGCTCTACAGTAGGAATATTTGGTTTTCAAAATAAAAATTTAATAATAAATACTAGTAATGCTTCCTGTTCACAAAGAGTCATGTACACAATCGAATATGAAAATTTTCCATGAAAACGAAAGATAAGAAATTTTCTCGGACCTTGAGATATTCGAGGTTCCATTCTTTCGAGGAAACGCTTTTAATTCTGGCAAAAAATCCAATTATCCACACACGTGCATACGAGAACGAAGGAAATCAGCGGAATCGAGTCGCGTCGCATCAGCACTATGATCCAGAGATGAATGGAGTTTTATTCCCGTAGATTCCCTGTCATTTATCGCTTCTTTCATGCGATTCGTGCCGGTGTATCGGCGATGTCGCTCAAAGGATCAGCCGCAGATCGCGCGAGGATTGATTAATTCATTGTTCACCGGTGGTACCGGGGTCTTGCTTCTAACGAAGGAAGAATTTTTCCCTCGTGGGTAGACGAATGGTGGAACAATCGAGATCGTGCAGCACGAGCAGCCGCGAGATAATTAAACTGAATGCCACGCGCGGTCACTCTGATATTCCTTTGTTCCCCTTTTCCCTCCTTTTGTTCCTCGGGTTTGCGTTCGATGCAACAACAAACGCGGCTTTTGCTTCGAATTTCGAAGAAATACGAAGCCGCGGTTTTTCCATATTCCGATTTTTACCTCGAAATGAAACTTTCGTGGAATATCGTTTCTGGCTGGGTATAGTAGGCGAATTGTTTTTAAAATAATTGCACGCCTCGGTAGAATGAAGCTACAGGTGTGTTACGAGATCGATAGGTCGCTGGTTTGTTTTAAGCGATGGATTTGAACGAATTTTGTGAACCCTGGGAAGAATTTTAGAGCAGACTTTGATAAATGTACTTGTGTTTTCAGACACAGCGAGGAGAAGGCGAAGTTAATATCAGTCGAATGTGGTTTTTACTGGGAATTTTTTAAATTAAATAGAATTTGATTCTTTAAGGAGAAACTAGAAATCATAGTACTTTAAAAAACAGAGAAATAAATTAACGAGGTTTAGTTTTTAAAATCTTCCAGTTCCAAAAAGGCAAAGCAAGAAGGTACGAAAACTTTATAATTAATTTCAAGAACAAAATAATAGTTATAATTAATGTATAATATAATTAATTTATTAATGTTAACTGTTTCTCCTAATCCTTAAATATTTTCTGTTCACTCGCTCATTTTAAGCATAGTATATTGTATCTTTTATCGGCCAACAACTCTAGATGACTCTATATTATATTATTATTTTTCTTGTTACCAAAGTATTATTACCTGTAAAAAAAAAGAAAAAAAAATAATTATACTTGAGCTTCAAAATCAATTTCGTCCAAATATATTTCCAAATTTTAATTTCAGAAATATCATAAAGAATATGATATAGAAGAGAATAAATACCTTAAATTTAATTTTAATAACAAAAGAAGGAATAATAAAAATTATAAATAAAAATCCTTCAAAGAGATCATAGTATCTCAAAAAACATAGAAATAAATTAACTAGGTTTGGATTTTAAAATTCTACATCTTTCCATTCCAAAAAGACAAAGCAATAAGGTAAAAATCCTTCATAATTAATTTCAAGAACAAAATAATAGTAATAATAAATTAAAATTAAGCTTCGAAATCAATTTCGTTCAGATAAACATCCAAATTTTAGTTTTAGAAATATTATACAAAATATCATACAAAATAAATACCTTAAGTATACAACACCTGCCCATGGAATAAATATCTTAAATTTAATTTTAATAACAAAGGAAGGAATAATAAAAATAATTAAAATCAAGTTTCCAAAATATAAGAAACCCATCTGCCACATAAATAAATCTATATTTCACACTCGTCGCTCAAACAGAAAATTTCCCATACCCAGCAGGGCCGTATGACACTATACTAGCACCCATACCTAAACAAAAATCGATGGGATGCACACTCCTCGAAAAGAAAATTCACGTAGCTAACTGAAAATCGAATTTCGCGTTACATGCAAATTACGATTTAGCACATCGGTGTTTTCCCTGAACAAACCAAGTTCCCGTCGTCTCAATGCGATACTCGGTGTTCTCTGTTCGCAGGAGGATGGCACGTCGGAGTCCACGAGTTACCTGGCTTTCACGGCTTCTGTGTACGACAACGGAAGAACGTTCAAGTGCTACGCCGAGAACTCGGTCACGCGTTCGGAGGACATGAAGCCGATGAAAGTGTCAACGACCATCGAAGTTTTATGTAAGTGAAGCATAATTCTCATCGTATTCTTGCCCTCTGGCCGCGTAAAGAACGCGTGCGCGGCCACCCTCCTCGCTCAGCCCGTCGCGTACGCATAAAGTGCTCCCCAAACGAAATTTATGCTTCCCCTTTCTCTATTGACTCCCTCAAAGAGAGAGAGGCGGTTTAAGTATTTGCAAAAGGAATGCGATATGGGATCGCATAAAAGTGTAAAACCCGTTTTTTCAAGGCGAGCTTTATAAGTTTCACGTGCAGATAAAAGTGAAGATGGTAGTAAATATGCGATGTACTGGAAGGCTGAGCGTGTTCGTGGGAGAAGGTAATGATATTTTGCGAGGATAAACTTAGCGATTTAGTTTGAATAATATTTGAAAAAAGGAGGGAAGAAGATTCACTGACTTTGTATTTTCTTTTTTATTCTATTTATTAGTTGAATTTGGCAACAAATTTCTCTCTGGCACTTGTTATTTCAATTTTCTTGAACAATTCTTCGTTAGGAGAAGATCTGTGAATCTTTACGGATACATATTTAACCCTTTGCACTCGAGAGGTGACCCTCAGTCACCATTTCATAAAATTTGGAAGATCGATATTAATTAATATAACGTATTTAATGTAATTTAACAGGGTGCAAGGTATCGAAATAAACTAATTCTACAATTCTATTACTATACAATTCTTTATTTACTGCTCAAAAGTATCGTCAGTTTTCTAATAAAGAATCTTTGATTTTCTACTTTACTCTAGCCAAAATATCGTTGAGTGCAAATGGTCAATTATTAATTTATTTTGTAAAGTGTATAGAACTGAAAGTTTCGTGATATTTCGCGAGAAAAAGTTAGGAGATTTAACACTAAAATTACCAGTCTGTAATATACACTCAAATATAATGCATTCAATTGGTATTAATTAATATGATACAGTGGAAAAATGAAATAAAAATAGAATAAAAAATAAAAATGAAAATATAATGAAAATCCCCAATGGTAGAGTTACTGTAAGTCTAGTGTTAATGTAAATAATATTTAGGAAAAAGAGAAAAAATGATTTAGTGACACTTTCTTCTCATTATATTTGTTATTTATTTCTGAATTTGGAATTTTATTTTATTTTATTTTATTTTAATTCTGAATTTCGTGGTTATTTTTTGTTAATGGTATTCAATTATGCATTCAATTCGTATTAATTAATATGATATAATGGAAAAATAAAATAAAAATAGAATAAAAGATAAAATAAAAATATAATGAAAATCCTCCATGGTAGAGTTATTGTAAATCTAGAATATTTAGGAAAAAGAGAAGAAATGATTTAGTGACACTTTCTTTTTCTTATATTTATTATTTATTCCTGAATTTGGAATTTCATCTTATTTTATTTTATTTTATTTTAATTTTGAATGCCCTGGTTATTTTTTGTTAATAGTGTATTGGTGAGTCTTTCGAGATAATTTTATATTTTATTTTAAAAAATTTTAATAATTTATCTGTGATAATATTTGAGAAAAGGAGCAAAGAGGATTGAATGATTATTTAATATATTTCTCTTCGTCGTTTGTTATTTGATTTTTGTCAAATCTTTGTTGAGTAAGGTTATGATATATTAGTTACAGTTTAGGACTACGTGTTTGATTATTCATTCGAGATAGTGGATAGAACTTTGCTCCGGGGCTTTGTTCTCATTGAATTATTAATTACAGTACTAGCCACTATATTCGACTGATTTTCCAGTCTGCGTTTGTGAAGTGATGCATGATTTCGAGCAAGTTCATGCAAGCTCGTGCAAGCTCCCATTCATGGCATACCATGGTACAGTATTTAAAGCGTTGGACCCATATCGGTTATTAATTAGTATGAACACTACTTCCTATTTGGACGCTAGAAATCTATCTCACTGTAATTCTGAGGTAACGCGAGAAAGATATAATCGTAAATCATGAATGAAAAATCGATGAAATTTCGCAAATGGAATTAAAAGCTCTTATTACCGTAGAATCTCTAAATTCCATGCAAAAATTACGTATTTTGTAAATGTTTGAAATATGATTTATCATCTTCCCGTTTCCGTTATTTATCATTTCATAATTTGTAATTTAACGAACGCGAGATATATTTCGAAACACACGATGTTTTCGCGTATTAAATTTTGCATTCTCATTTTACAGTATTCTTCTTTTGTGTCTATCTATAAAACTATTAAAACCGGCGTGAATTCCTGGCATGAAGTGAAATTATAACGAGACGTATTCTATTTGACTAATAACTCCTGAAATTCGGTGTACATGGACGAAAGTACGGTTTATTTAATGGGTGCACTCTGTCACTCGTCGTGTAATAAAATCGCAAATAGCTAACGCGTTCTAGCAACCATTAAAAGGAGATATAGATTATAATAAGCGTTTAAATCTTTTAACAGGCTATTACAGCCGAATGTAATTATAATAAATGAATATCAGGGATATTGGATTATAACTTTGAACCCTTTACTCCGGATTAAGAGGACACAACACATTTCGAAATTAATAACATTCTTTTTTGTTATTTTTTTTATTTATTTTTTATTTTACAATAGTTTTTGCTATTTTTGTTTCCTGAAAATGGCCACCGTTTGATAGAAAAGAGAGAGAGGTTTGATAATGTTAGTAAAGAAATATCCTGAGAATAAATCAGTAAAAGGAAAATTAATAGAAATAACAAATAGTCTGGAATACATAAATTTTTAAAAATTCTATCTTCTAAAATATTTTTATTATAAGAGAGTATCTTGATAATGGATCAATAACGAAAGATATTAATCATTATAAGCTTGATAAAAGTATTATGTATTGATAGAATTTATATATATGTTAGTTGAGTTAATAAATTTTTTAAATTATACTCTTTGACAAGATAATCCACAAGCACATGTGATATATGAATTTGTTAAAAGTAAAAATAGTTTACATTGTTATCTTTATAAATTTTGATCTCGAGAGTAAAATATTTCAGCCAGCTGAATTTTTCTGGGCACAGATATCGTTTGTCAATTTCAAAATCTGTTTCCAATAACGTGAAACCAATGTTTCCTTTCGTGAAAGAAAGCAACCTTCGATAAATATAGCTCGAAAAAGCATTTCAAAAGGAAATCAAAGGTCCTCGTACGAAAATTTTTCCAAAACGTGGAAACTACGCAAATACAAATATCCACGATATATTTACGTACAGTACTAATACATTTTAAAAATAGTATAGTATGAAATATTAGTACGAAATGGAAAACCATAGAATAAAGAAAATAATGGAATTCAATATAAATGTTTACTATATTTATAACAAATAAATATCCAAATATAAATGTAATATAAATATAATATTCTATCATACATATTTAGATTCTTCAAAAAAATTGAAATTAATTTACAAAATTGTTCACTCAATCAATAACTAATTGCAAGTATTTAAAATTACATTAAATATAAAATTATGTTAAAATAGTTAGCAATTAAAAATTATTTTTTAAATTTCTTCATGAATAATTTATACAAAAACACAATTGCAATAATTACCAATTATTAATCTCGTAAAAATGACTCATTCTGTTCCACTAAATAACACGAATAATAGTCTCATCTTTTTTCTAATATATTCTTCCCAATCAAATAAATATTTAATATTGAACCTATAATCAACTTCTAAAAATCTCTAACCACCCCACTGTGAGTATTGATTTTATATGTGTTAGGTGAAAGATGAGAGATAAGAATAAGGTGAAATAAGTGAAACTCATTTGAGATGATATAAATATAATATTTGCGAGTAAAGTCTAATATGAATGTTATTAAGAAAATATTTAGGAAAATGTGCTAGAATAAAACAATTACGCCAGAATCGTCATAGAGTAAACATATGTTAATGAGAGTGAGTGAGAGAGAGAAAAGAATTTTCAAGATAGTGTTAAATATTAAAATATAAAATATATTAAAATAATATTTAACATTTAAATATATTAATCAATCTTTGTGTTTAAAATAGTTTATTGAGAATTGTTGCGAATATTGAAATATTATTATCTAAATATATAAATTTGTTAACTGTTAAAAAACGTGGAAGATATTGGTATTCATTTCTATCCACACTCACGATCATTAAACACTCTCGATCCATCATCGCAAGAAACTAACCTCTCTTTATCCCCCGTTCTCAGCCATTTTTACACGCGTCGTCGAGTCATACGCCCGAATCTGTCGCAAGAAAGCAAAACGTGTCGCGAAATATTCGTTCGCTGTTTAATCCCGCCCCCGGCACCCGTTGAACGCAATTAAATTGCACTAACGAGGCGCGAGCAAGATAACGATGCGTCTTCCCTTTTGTCCGGAATTTATGATATTTGCACCGTGTCACGAACGGGTATTTATATCCGGCATCGCGACGCTTTTGGGACGAGGAGAGGTGGCTCCCGGCTTCGAATCGAGAATTAACACCCTCTGTCAACGCCTGAAAATCGTTGTTGCTAAGTATTTTCATCCATTTCCCTTTCTTTCATTTTTTAGCCCGCTTTCTTTCGCGATCGTGATTACGTTCGGCGGGGGGTCGCAGGGGTGCTGTGCCCGGGGATTTCGAGGATTGTTCGGTGAAGAATTGAGGGATCAGGGCGGAGGATGACGTCGGTGAATGTTAAGCTGGGAGTAAGATTAGGCTAAAAGTGGATAAGTGAAGGTTCGACGAGGTGATTGGGAGGAATTGGAATGTTGATGAGGAGGTTGCAAATGGAACGATCGTGGGTTACTTTAACGATGACTTTTGGGGAACCAAGTAGTAGATGATTTTATATGAAGAAGTATGGCAGTGTGAATAGTTGGATGGCGACAGAAATTTATTATGCGGAGAAATGTCATTAGGCAAAATAAATTATTGTGTTTATTAAATTAAAATTATTAAATTTATGAAATTTAAATTATTAAATTTGTGTTAGTAAATTTGGTAAATTATTCTGGGAAATTAATTTAATTAAATTTAATTTTA